TATCCTAGCAGAGCAGTTACTGCGGCTTTGGGACAGCCCCTAAACTGGGGTTGAACAAACAGCACTTTTCAAACAAGTGAATGACTGGCTTATTGGCTGCCTCCTGAGCCAGGAGTCAGAAGACTAGATGTCCTCTTGGTGGAGGAATAAAGAGGCGTCGGTTTTGTCCAGAAAGCACGCTCCGTTCATCTCGCCTACTTCTCAAATGATAGCTTCGCTGGCACTTTCTTCTCGGTCCTCGGCTTCTAACAGAGGTTTGCCATTAGATGGATGTGCTGACCCATTGAAATCTTCTGATTTCTCATGGTTGAGATAATATCTGGCCAGGAGCCATCCATCCCTGCATCCCAAGGTGACCTCCCTCTATCCAGCCAGAGACCTACATACAGTTGCTTCAGTCTCATTACCATACTGAGAAATTATAGTTCATTTAGACTTAATTTCCCTGAAATACTACAATGGGAGGACGGGAACTGGAAATATGAAAGCATAACAAGACGATGCTTTGTTATGGGCACGGGGCATGTACAGATTTTAGCTGATGAGCCATTTTATCTGGGAGGGAAACTTAGAAATAAGACAGTGATGGCTTTCCCCGAAATAATGTAGAGTCTAATAAGAGTGGAGACTTCTGAAACACTACTCTGGGGGATTCCCTGAGTGCTCTTCCAAAGCAGGATGGAGCAGCTGTGTGGCACGCCAGATGGGGCTCAGATCTGGCTCTTCTTTCCATGTCCAGTCCAGGACCCTCATCTCTTAATGCCTCTCCCCAGGCACCTTCATTCAGTCCCGCTCCCTCCAGTCTCAGACTGCCTCCTCAGTCCTCACTATTCAGAGTCGCTCGTTTAAGAAAAAAGATAATTGATACAGGGAGCTGTCAGGGACGAAACCCCTTCTAATGGCAACACATAGTCTTGGCTAGCTCTTTGGGACACTGTGAAGTGAAATGGCTTGCCCAGATGCATCAGAGGCATAAAGCAAGGTCATTGCTTCATCCATGGTATCCCCTGCTGCCTCTCACAGCAACCCGTCGTGTGTCCTTCAATGCCATTTTAATTAAATCACTGCCATGCTCAGGAGTCCGCAGTGGCTTCATGAGATGCTCCAAAGGGCAGAGGACCATGGCTTAGGTCTCTTTTTATTCCCCCTCCTCCTGTTCCCCCCAGGACTCAGTGAACACTGCACTGATGTGCCCAATTTTCTCTTCACCATTGGTTTTTGTGACTTACTGCCATTGTGAGGATAGGAGAATTCCAGAGAAAGAGGAAATAGCCTAGGCCAAGTGCCAGTTTAGTGTTAACATAGGCAGAACAGCAACTTGGTTGCTGTCAAGGAAGTAGCCCACAGGTCGTCAGTGCCAGCAGGCCCCTTCCCAATTTGCTCCTGGGGCAACATTTGCATAGACGGTCGCTGGTAAAATGGGGAGTAGAGAGAGGCTGAAAGGAATTTTCTTTTTCAATACAGCATGGAAAGGCTATGATTCTATAGGGAATTGTAATACGTAGAATCCAGGAGATAAGACACATGCCGGAGTGCCGGTCTCCAGACACCGTGGCTGGACACCTCTGGACACTCTGAGTACCCTCTAAGCCTTTGTCCTGAGGCCCTGTTGGTTTTTCAGTTGTATGCCCACACATTGACAGATACCGACATGGGGCGGGTACTCAATACATGAAGGCAGCTGAGGCTGACGAGGTGACAAGATGGAGAGCCCCTTCCCCCCCTCAACAGCCCCTAGACTAATCATTGGGTTAGCTTTTGTAATGCTCTAAGACTTATAAATTACTGTGTTAGTTGTCTGAAAGGAACTTTCTAACTCCAAGTCAGAGAGTGAACTGTGGTCATGGAGAGACAAGTAAAGGGCTCAAAAGGACAGGTGATGTCTAAGGGCTTCTCTGGATGGCTGCTCTTCAACCTGACTCTGAATCAGAAAGAGCTGAGGTGGCCCCTGGGGCTCTGAGTAAAAGAACAGATAAACCCTCCACTTTGGGAGGGGGGCAGTATAGATAGGTGATAGCTAGCTAGATGGAGGGGGGGGAGGGAGAGAGGGAGAGAGAGAGAGAGAGAGAGAGAGAGAGAGAGAGAGAGAGAGAGAGAGAGAGAGAGAGAGAGAGAGAGAGAGAGAGAGATGAATCGATAGACAGGGAGAGGGATGAGTAGATAGATAATAAGTAGTCAGAGAGGTAGAGATTAATGAATAGAGAGAAATGGAAAGAGATGATTGGATAGACAGAGATAGGAGAGACACGAATGGATGGAGAGATGGATAGAAGAATAGAAATGGAGAGAGATGAGTATAGATAGAAGATAGATAGCGAGATGGATGGAGAGAGGAAGAGAGTGTGCATTTATTAAGCTCCCACTGTGTTCTTTGGTCTGCATTCACACAAAACAACAGCTCACAAAAGACAGACTTAATGTCACTGATATATCCATTACCAGACCAGGCAGGCAAAAGATATTTAATTTAGGCACTGTACTAAAGGGCTGGGGATATAAGTAAAAGCAAATATGACAATCCCTGCCCTCAAGGAGCTTACATTCTAATGGAGAAAGACTACCTACAAAGAAGTGATGGAAAGGGGGGAGGAGGGAGTGTCCAGCAAGCGTTCGTGGTCTGGATGCACGGCTCTCTGCCAGAGGAGGCAGAGCCCTCACCTGGCCTAGCAGGGGGAGCCAGGAGTGGAATCCAGGTTTCCCTAGAGATGGTTTCAGTGGGGTTTGGGGGGAGGAGAGGGTTGGAGAGTACAGGCAGTGACCATGAGGGAGGTAGCTAAGACCAGAAGATGGCAGCAGAGAGCCACCAGAGAGCCGCCCCACAGTCTGCACCTGATGGATATTGCCTGGCCTCCTGCTGCCACCCAAGCTCTGTAGAGAGAAACAGCAGCTGGGTCAGAGGGGTGGGTTCTGGGATGTGGACCCGGGCATGAGAGTGTCCTTGGTCACGCCTACACCGCAGGTGGCCTTTCTCCAGAGAGTGCTGTGGGAAGGTCTACCCCATGTATATGGAGGCATTCTGCTCTGCTGTTGAATTAGCTAGCCTGCCTGCCCGATTGGTCTGGTAAAAGATGCAGCAGACTTGTCTCATATTTTTATAGGGCATATATGTATATATAGACAGGGAGAGGGAGAGGGGGAGGGAGAGGGGGAGGGAGAGGGAGAGGGAGAGGGGGAGAGAGAAGGAGAGAGAGAGAGAGAGAGAGAGAGAGAGAGAGAGAGAGAGAGACAGACAGAGACAGAGAGACAGAGACAGAGAGACAGAGAGAGAGAAGGAGAGAGAGACAGAGAGATAGGAGAGACACAGAGAGAGAGACAGAGGAGAGAGAGAAGGACAGAGAGAGGGAGAGAGAGAGAAGGAGAGAGAGACAGAGAAAGAGAGACAGAGAGAGGAGAGAGGAGAGACAGAGAGAGGAGGGAGAGAGACAGAGAGAGAGGAGAGAGAGAGAAGGAGAGAGATAGAGAGAGAAAAGAGAAGAGAAGAGGAAAGGGGAGGGGAGGGGAGAGGGGAGAGAGACAGAGAGAAGGAGAGAGAGAGAGAGAGGAGAGAGAGGAGGAGGAGGAGGTAGGAAGGGAGAAGGCTGATCTCCTGTGACTCCTCTCCCTGCAGCCTGTGCTTTAGCTGGTACACACGGCAGTCTCCTGCTTCTCTGCTCATATTTACAGCGCTATCCAGGCCAGAAATATCCTCCCTCCTCCGTTTACCGTTTGAATTCCTAACTGTCTCTTAAAACCCAGCTCTGATGCCAGTTTGTACCAGTCCATTGCTGTTTGGGGAATTCAAGGTTTCCACAGTGAAAGCAAGCTGGCCAATATGCTACAAGCAATAATAGGCTTTTGTGGGGTTTATTTTTACTCACATGATGGAAGGTCCTCCACTTGAGACACCCAGGAGGAGGACGGGAAGGATTGGGAGAGGTTCCAGTGGGTTATCTAGAGGGGCAGGACAGGATGCATTCACAACTCTGCCCCAGAAGGAATCTGGGCCCTGGGTGAGACAATCTTTAAGCCATGGCAAGAGGTGGAGGAGGACCAGTAAATCTGTGAGACCCAGCCTGGATCCAGGATTTTTCAGGCTCTTGTCACACAATTCAATTTATTCATTGTCAAACATGTATTAGGCACCCGCTGTTAGGCACAAGACAAACGTGAAATAATCTCTGCCGTTAAGGAGCTTCTATTCTAGGATGGGATTCAACCTGAACATAAATAATTACCAAGTCTGAAAAAAGGAAAGCAAAGTAATAATGCCTCCTGTTTTGGTGTGGGAACATCTGGGTTGTCACCTGGACAGAATCTAGGTGTTGTGTAGGGAGGGATGGCGACTTTCTCAGGTGAGTCTGAATGATTTTCCATCTCTGAGCTCAGAGTTTGGGAGACTACATTTAACAAATTTGCATGGAGCATGGGAATTTCCAGCCAGATTATGGGGGGGAGAGAAGTAAGAGGGGAGATTCCAGGAAAGAGGCAGGGCAGAGGGTATCAGGCAGTGCAGAGCACATGTCTAGAGCAGACAGCCTCTTACAAGAAAGGCTGGTCCTAGAAGACCAAGATGTTTTGGACCATCACTAGGTCCTCCATGAAGATTTCCCTGATTCCCCCCAGTTGGTAATGACCTTCCCTGTAGAGCTTTGTTTTGTGACAAGAGATCCCTTCTGGGCCCACTGGGGTTGGGTGCCCACTTTATCTCACTAAGGGGCCCCTAGCTCTGAGCTCATGCAAACCAAGTTCAGTCCTGGGACAGCATTAGCTGGAAAGAGGAGAATTAGACTCTTTGTCCCTTTACCCCCCAATCCTGGGGGTCCCAGGAAAATCACTTAAAACTCAGACCTAAGGGCTCCCCAAAAGAAGTAGTATGCTGTCTATGTACAAGGTCAGTCAGATATAGGAAATCTATTTATTTACTCAATTACAAAAGAAATGCCAAAAACATAAAAGACTCCTGATTGCACATTGATAAACACTTAGAGCATGAAGCAATTATCCCTTTTATACCATCCTGGGAAGTTGATATTTAAAAGCAGTAAAAAATGGAACTTTTAGTGGGATTGTTGAATATGTATTTCACCTTCCACTTGGCTCTGCACTGTCCAGATAACTCCCTCCAAGTCCATGTCTTCTGACAAGCTGGCCCAGGGCTCAGACCCAGCCTCCTTCCTGTGGTCAGCTTGTCTTCTGAGAAAGGTCATAGTGGCCACAGAAAACCCCATCCACAGTGAAGTCATCGCTGACAGAGGGACCCTTAAACGCAACAGAAATGTCTGTCTTTGGGTTGCTAGTCACTCACCTAGGCTCAGGAAAAGAAACAGAAAAGACGAGACGCCTGCTCTAGCTCCCAGGGTGGGGAGGCGAAGAAGTGGATAGAACCAGGAGAGTTCCAAGTCACGCATGCAGAGGAATGCATGGATACAGCATTTATGAAGCACGCTGTGTGCAAAGCGCTGTACTAAGCTTCAGGAGCTGCACACAGAAAAGCAAGACAGTCCTGCCAACAAGGAGCTCACCTTCTAATAGAGGAGACAGCACCTGGGGGAGATCTCAGGCGCAAGTGAGATGGAAAGGTCCCTGGTCCATAGGTAGCAGGGGCGAAGCAGATGGGGTGGGGAGAGCCTGAGGGCGTGGAATGAAGACTTCTCCTGCTCAGTGGCCAATCAGGGGGTCGCTTCATCATCTCAGCACAAATCTGTTAGCCCTGAACCACGCGTCCCCTTCAGGGGCCAGGAGAGCTCAGCCAGCCTGAACATGCTCAGTTAGACAGGGAACACTGTGGGAGGGGCTCGGCTGAGGGCCCCCATCACTATTGTGAAGGTACTTTTGTTGTTATCATTGTCTGTCCTTCTTTCTCAAAGAGGACCATGACATCAGGAAGGCGATGCCATGACTTGTGAATTGGAGTTAGGTGAGGCAGGGCTGTGCAGAGTCACCAGCCTCCCTTTCTCCTCCAGAGCCGCAGGGCCCAATGGCCGGATATAGATCAGGATGACTGGCCCTGAAGAGACTTTTACGGAATAATGGATAGAGTACCAGGCTTAGAGTCTGAAGATCTGAGTTTGAATCATGGCTATCTATAACTATCTATTTTTTATTTATTTATTTTTGGCCAGGCAACTGGGGTTAAGTGACTTGCCCAGGGTCACACAGCCAGTGAGTATCATGTGTCTGAGGCCGGATTTGAACTCAGGTCCTCCTGATGCTAGGGCCGGTGCTCTATCCACTACGCCATCTAGATGCCCCTATAACTATCTTTTTTAACACAAACATACACACATATGTATGTATATATATATATATATAATATATATATATATATATATATATATATATATATATTCACTCTGTCATTCTAAACAAGTAATATATATAATAGGTAGTTATAGATAGGTGAGTATATGTATGTATGTGTGAATGTGTGTGTGTGTGTATAAATATTTACGCTATCACTCTAAGCAAGCCAGATTTCCTCTCTAAGCTCTAGTTATAGTTACCTTGTTTTAAAAATAGAGATAATAGGGGCAGCTAGGTGGTGAAATGGATAGAACACCAGCCGTGAAGTCAGGAGTACCTGAGTTCAAATCCAGCCTCAGACAAAACACTTGACACTTACTAGCTGTGTGACCCTGGGCAAGTCACTTAACCCCAACTGCCTAAAAAAAAAATAAAATAAAAATAGAGATAATAGAGATAATAGGGGCAGCTAGGTGGTGAAGTGGATAGAGCACCAGCCCTGGAGTTAGGAGGATCTGAGTTCAAATGTGGCCTCAGACACTTGACACTTACCAGCTGTATGACCCTGGGCAAGTCACTTAACCTCATTGCCTAGCCAAAAAAAACCCCAAAACCAAATGAAAACAGAGATAATAATGATACTGCATACATCACAGGGTTGTTACAGGGATAGTGTGTGGTGCTATATAACTGTCAGGTGTTCTTAGCTACATAAAATATTGAGTATCTGCATAGATGACTCACCCCTTGGTCAGCTAGAGGCTCCATGAGGGCAGGGAGAGAGTCCTGTATTTAAAGCCAAAGAACTCGAGTTCCGGGATCACAGAATCTTACTTATGGAGGCGAGAGGCCCTCTTGTTCGTTCCTTCCCCTGATTTTACAGATGGAGAAACCGAGGCCCAGAAAGCTCAGGAGCTTTTTAATGTTTTATTTTTTAAATTCTATTCTTGATCCAGAGAATCCACTCCGAGCGCTCACAGGGACTGTGTGTGCCTGACCTGTGGTAGAACCTCCCGAGCCTGCGCTGGTCTGATCAGCCACAGCTGGGCGCGCTGTGCCCTGGCTCTAGCGCAGGGCTGTCATTTCGGTCCACTTCAAGGACAAAAGACTGGAACCGACCAACCAATCTGACCAATGTCAACAAACATGAGTATTTCCACGTGTCTTCACGTGGAATGTGAAGCCACAAATCCTTCTTGCACGCAGCTTTTATTTTTTTAAAAGTAGATAATGAAGGGCAGCTAGGTGGAGCAGTGGATAGAGCTCCAGCCTTGGCATCAGGAAGACCTGAGTTCAAATCTGGCCTCAGACGCTTGACACTTGCTAGCCGTGTGACCCTGGGCAAGTCACTTAACCCCGACTGCCTCGCCAAAAAGCAAAAAATAAAATAAAGTAGATAATAAATTCAATCCATTAGTTTCAAAGCTTCAGAGAAGGACTTCCATTCAGATTATTCCAGTATCTTTTGAGAGAGAAATCCTAGTGGATGGAGTATGGGACATGGAGTCAAGAAGACTTAAATTCAATTTTATTTTATTTTCATGAAGATCCAGTTTTCTTTCTCCTTCCTCCCCAACCCCACCAAATGAGAAAGCAAGCAAAACAGATAACCTCATTGCAAATTTGTACAGGCAAGCAAAGCAAATTCCGGCATTGGCCACGTCCAAAATAAGAACCCAAAATAAGAACCCTAACTCCTGTCTGGCTCTGTACTCAAGTCCCCATCCTGAAGGATAAAGACCTGAATCTGCATCCCACTTCTGACACATATTAGCTATGATTATCGTCCCCCCGATTCTACTCAGCTCACTCTGCATCAGTTCATACAAGTCTTCACAGGTTTCTCTGAAACTAAGATGATAGATCTATAGGTGGAAGAGGCCTTGGAGGCCACTGAGCCAATGCCTTTAATTGACAGATGAGGAAACTGAGGGCAGACAGAAGTGGCCCGCCCAAGATCACAGGGAGATAAATCATATTAGGTCATCAACAAACTTTAAAATACTGTAATAAGATATTAAGTTATTATTATTCAAAGTTGATAACCAAGTAGGATTAACTCAGTATGTCAAAGTTCTATGTGAAGGGAGACTGGAGCTCAGTCTTTTTTTTTTTTTTAACGTCCCAGCCAAATTTTCCAGGCCATGGGTTGGAAGCTTTAAAAATTGCTGCATAGGGAAAAGTCATCAGACAGCTCAGCTTCTGCCTGGCAGGTTACAATTGCTTTTACTTTGCCCAGTTTTCTCATTTGTGAAATGAGAACAATAATTCTCCTTGTCTAGCTCATGTCATCTCTTGCTTGGACTCGAGAGAGATAAAATACTCCTGAGACTGAAAAGGTTTTTAAGGAAACTAGCTTGCATTATGGGTGCCCAAGGAACATTCAGTCCCAGGACAACAAATTTATCACCCCTCTATGGCATGCAAGGCTATGTTTGATGCAAAGGGATAAAAAGACAAAAAGAAGTGGGAGTTCTGACAAGATGGTGGAGTGAGAGGTGATAAACAAGGCCAACTCCTCAATAGACACATTAATGAAGAGAAAAGTGCCCCTAAATCCAAACAAATGCTGGAAGGAAAGCAAAAAAGGGGGAGTTGTTTAGGGACCCCAAGACAGTGGGTGGGCACACCTCAGAGTGGGGTACAAGGACTCTTCAGGGTCCTGGAAAACCTTTCAAGGAGTCCCCAAGTTCAAATCTACTTTCCTAACAATACAAAGACATTTTAATTTCTAACATAGTAGCTACTGATAGATATAACCCACATAAACCAAAGTTTTTTGAGGTCCTCAGTAAGAGTATGGCTGTGAGACCAAACAGTTTGAAAACTGTTGCTCAAAGGAAGATCATCTGTTGTTCAATGGTGCCTGACTCTTGGTGACTCCATTTGGGGTTTTCTTGGCTATAGTATTAGAACGGGTTACCATTTCCTTCTCTAGCTCATTTTACAGATGAGGAAACTGAGAAAAACGGAGTTGTGACTTACCCAGGGTAACACAACTAGTAAGTGTCTGAGGCTGGATTTGAACTCAGGAAAATGAGTCTTCCTGACTCCAGGTCTGGTGCTTTGTCCACTGCACCACCTAGCTGGATAACTCTAGGATTAAAAAAAGAAGAAAGAACAAAGGAATGAGTAAGCAGAGAAAAACTCCAATTCAATGAAAGAACATAGATGAAAAGATGCCAAAGAGAAGTTACCAGAAGGAGAAAATAATATGCTTCCTTCAACAATGGCTCTAGAGATGAATCCGGCTCTCAGACAAGACCCATGGATGTGGCGTAAAACTCTTCAAAGGAAATAAAGGAGGATTTGGCCTAAGAAGAGAAACGTCTGCTCTCTGTAACAGCCCACCAGTAAAATGGAACAATGCTAATGGCACACAAGAAAATAGTAACACGGAAAAGGCTCTCAAAGGTTCGCATAACAGCACACAGTCAAAAAGAAAAGAGATCCCCAGGATGGAGATGAAATGATAGAAGTGTTGGAAAATGGCACATGATCAGATCAAAAGACAACTTTGCTTGGCATTTTACAGGGAGAGTTCAGAACGACAATTTACAAGTCTCCAGTTTCCCCAAAAGAGGTGAAATTGGAAATCTTCTAAGTAGTGCATTTTAGGAACTCACTCAGGAAAATTTCCCAAGACTGTTGAGATCAAAGGATGACATTTGGATAAACAAAATTTACCAGGATCCTTTATTGGGAAACATCAGCTTCAACTCCTCCATAGATTTAGATGAAGAGATGATGTTTACAAGCAGCTAAGAGGAAGAATATCACCGACTTATCAAAGATCCCACTTCAGATCACATGGGATTATTCACCCATCATGAAAAAACAGAGAAAAAATGGAACATGGTTTACAGAAAATGAAAGGATATCAAGCCTTATCCTAGAATCTTCTGCCCAGGGAAACCAGAAATAATATTTGAAGATGGAAGATCTAACTTTGATTGTCCACATTTCCACACACTTACATAGGAAGATATAGAAAAGAAATTGGCTGAAGGTTTTTT